CATGGGCGGCTGAGGGCGCCGCGCAGGCAAGAGCGCGGAGGGGGAGGTGGGGAACAGGCCGCTGCAGCCCCGCGAACCGGAAGCAGGAAGGGATCAAAGGGCGGGCACTGAAGGCGAGCGCCGTGAGCCGGAGTTAGGCCCCGCCCCCTTGAGGCTGCCCCCCAATAGGAGGGCAGGCCACACAGCCTTGCCCCGCCCTGTTTCCGTCACTTCCGTCCAAGGAGACTCTGGGGGCGAAGGGAAAGGTGTGTCCCTGTGCCCCAGGGCTCCGCAGCCAATAAGCGAGAAGGATCCTAGCCCCGTTTCGCTATCCCCCCATACCGCTTCTCCCCGCCGCCTCATCCAGTGGGCTTTGCTAATCGCCGGGAAGCTCCGCCTCTCATTTTAACCTCAGACCAATGACCAGTCGCGTCTCCAACATGGGCAGCGTGGCTGCCCAATCAGAGAGCGCTCTTAAGGAGAGCCCCGCCCACCCTCCCGGCTCACCCAATAGCCATGGAGAAGCGCGGGGGAGGCCCCGCCCCCCCGCAGGCTCCTCTGTGCCCAATGGCAGGAGAGGGCCGCCGGCTCAACTTGGCCAGAGGGCCGCTGACTCAACTTGCCCGCGCCTAGCGGGGGCGGGTCACGAAACTCTTATGCGCCGCTTCCCTGTCATGGGATTCCCCTTCCCCCTCCCGTCACCCTGCCTACGGCGGGGCGGGGCATGCTGGGAGTTATAGCCTGCAGCGCCCTCCCCCCACGCAATGCCCCACGCGTGCTCGTGGGGCCGGCGGGCGTGAGGGATGCAGCAGGAGAACAGGGAGCAGATAGCCCCCAGCTCTGTGGACAGGTGCCTCACCCTGTGTTACCAGTTCAGGACAACTCTGCACCATCCCTGGTGCTGTGCAGGCCTGTTGCAGTAGTGGCCTCACTATGGTCTGGTTTCCCCCCCTCCATTCACCTAGTGAGATGTGTGCATGCCTCCCAGGACTAATGTTTCTTGGCACCCTTGACAGGATCTCACGGCACCCTGGCTGAGGTTGGATTATAGTTGGGCTCTTCACATCCCTTCAGGGCCTGACACTGGTCCAGATCCCAGCACCCGGCTTTCGGACTTGGGGCATTATGCTGTAAGGGTATGTAGTCAGCGTGCTGCCCCTTGGTCTCCAGTCAAGAGTATCTTCACTCGGGGTGGATAGGACCTCATGAATCATCCAGTCCATCATCCTGCAGAGGTGCAGGTGTCGCTATTTGTAAACTGGCCCAGACAGATGACCTTTCAGCCTCGTCTGGAAAGTTAGCAAATGAGAACGCACAGCTTCCCTGGGCAGCTTGTTAATCACCCTGCTGTTCTTACACTTCGGACATTTTTCTTCGGATTTGCTTTAAAGCTGCTTTTCTGTAGTTTAAGCCCACTGCCTTGTCTTGCCTCCCCGATTGTGAATTATAACATCCTACATGGCCTGGGAGTGCTGTCCTTGAAGCCCTGCCTCTGCCTTGCTGCTTGCGGCTGTGGTCAACAGAGGAGCACAAGTTAGAGCTTCTTTTGCCTAACAGAGAGGGGCAGCTGGTAGAGATGGTCTCTGTCAAGGTGGTCCCTGGGAGGACACTGGACCTTGCTCTCCCATTTAATCTGAAATTAGCTGGATACACTGTAAAAGATGTCCTTTTGAGGGATGTCTGGGGGATGGCTGAGACTGCTGCCTAGATGATGGAGGATTGGAAAGGAGCTCCCATGGTGGTCTAAGCTTCCGCTGAATTGAGCATTTGAATGCAGCTGATGTATTGTATTGCTGATGCATGTTAAGGCACCAAGACCTGTGCATAGGCACTTTTATTTTTAAATATATAATTATGGCCACATCTGCATTCTTTGTGCCAGCAACTTAGAGATTTGCCATTGCACTCTCTTCTGTCCCAACTGAGATCTTGGCCCCTTTCTCTTCATGTAATGTGTAGCTAACTCATGGAACCCACTTCCACAGGATGCTGCAGAGGCTGGTAATTTAACCAGGTTCAAAAGGGGATTGGACAAATTCATGAAATGTAGGTCCTCCGATGGGTTTTTAAACACTTGGTAATAGGACTGCAGCTTCACAACTTGGACTTTCTGGACCTTAGAATGCCAAACGCTGTAGGGGCGAGGGATGGATCAGTCTGAACAGGTCCTGGATTCAGGCCCTTTTTCTCTGCATTCACCCCCTGCCCTTGTGAAAGACAAGGTACTGGGCTGGATCTGGATGGACCTCTTGTCTGACCCACAACAGCATTTCAAGCCCTCTCTGACGTTTCCTCTTAGATGTTTTGCCGTCACCTTAAGCTCAGTATGGACAGAACAGCACACTTAGAGCTAAGTTCCGTTTCACTTACACATGCCTATGTGGCACTTAAGCACAGATGACATTTTATTTCAACATGCAGAGCTGCACGTGTCCTGCACTTCCTTTGTGAGTGAACTCAGGAGGCTGTGCTCTGGCTGAGTAAGGCCTGAAGTGGAATAGGGTCACCTGGCTACGCACACAACACTAGGTATGCACTGGAGCTTTAGCCTGCTTGAAACCACAACTAGTTTGATGCCATGGGGAAGGGCAAAGGCTGGAACCCAAGCCTCCTGCTCCCATTTTGGTGGGGGTGGGGTGGAGCAGGGAATGATGCCCATCTTAGCAAGCCATGCTCCAGTTTCCTTGCTTGCCTCCCATCTCTTCTCATTTGGCCTGTGAGTCAGCTTAAAGAGGAGGATTAGCAAGGAACTTCAACAATGCCTATGGTCTAGTGACTGGTGCAGGTTGCTGGAAAGTAGGAAATGCAGCTTCTAAACCCTCTTTGCCTTGGGGGGGAGCTCAAATCTGGATTTTGCGCTCCCTGAGCAAGGAGCTAGTAGTTAGGATTATTGAGCTAAAAAGGTAGGAGGGACCTTATCCTCCTCCACTTTATATCAGGCAGCTACACACACATCTGGGTGATCGTGTTCCACAGGAGGAAATTAAATTAAAAAAAACATGTATGAGTGCCAAGAATCACATCCAAAATAGCCAAGTCATGTAAATATCACCTGTGCATACAGAGGTGAAATAGGATTTGGCCACCGATGTCTTTTTTTTTCCCCACAAGTCCTCTCTCTCTGTATTTTTCACTCACTACTGTCTGCACTGGTGTCGTCCCTTTCACTCAGGCTGTTCAACCAGCCTGTTCTCTTTAACCCTCTCTCTACATCCTTATGCTGTGATTATATCTAAATCTTGCCAGTTCTTGCTGTAGAACACTTTTAAAGATGCAGCCTTTCTCTTGCATCCACCCACATAAAACTCATCATCATTTCACATGGTTAGCACAACTTTCCCCTCTTTGGCACTGGCCACTCACTTCTCATGCCACTTATATTCATTTAAAGCTAACATAATTGTGGTGATTTTGACTGGGCTCCACGGCTTCTCCCTTCTTTACCACATCAAACAGGTCTGGTTTGTCTTGGGGGTGTTGGTCTAAGGACATAGACAGACAAGGTTCTTTGGATAGACGTGATGTCTTTTATTAGACCAATTAAATATTTAGAAAATTTGTTCTTTGCAAGCTTTTGGGTACAAAAGGGTGTTTGTACCTGAAAGCTTGCAAAGAACAATTTTTCCAGCTGTTCAGTTGGTCTAATAAAAGACATCACGTCTACCCAAAGAACCTTGTCTGCCTGGTTTGTCTTCACTTCTAAGGACCCTGAAGGCCCTTCCTTTTACTCTGCCTGTCCTGCTTTTTGTTTTTGAGAAGTAACACCTGTCTCAGCTTTGCTAGCAAACCTGGAATCATAGAAAAGCAAGTCTGGAAGGGACCTCCAGAGATCATGTAATCTAACCCCCTGCCTGAGACAGGATCATCCCTATCCAAATCAACCTGTACAGATCCATTGTCCAACCTATTAGCAAAACTACAGAGTCAACCCTGACACAACCACAGACATAACAGCCTAACCTGCCACAGGTAGAACAGGAAGACAACCGTGGCCACCGTCCTGCTGCTGAAGAAGTTGTTAAAATACACTTGAGAGATTCACTGCCAGCCTTCACTGTCCTGTCCCTTATGCTGGAAAAGAGCTCCCCTGTAAAAATCTCCAAAGCCTTCTCCTTGTCCTCTGCAATCCCTGCTTATAATCAGAAGCAGAGTAATTGCCTAAGGCCCCAGGTTCTGCAGTAGAGCAGCCACTAGACCAGGACAGTAGTGCTGCAAGTCATCTATAGACTTGGCAGATGTCACCTGCTCTGACACATGCTAATTAGCATGATTAATTGAGTCTGCTCAATTAATCAAGTCTGCTGGAGCACACTAATTAGCACACTCAGCAGCCTCTGCGTCATGTGTATTTATCATCTCTGTACTTAAAAATGACTGTGGGGGTGCTTTAACTAAAGTGTGTAAAACAAACTTTAGTTAAAGTGCCCTCGTCGTCATTTTGGAGTGCCAAATGCTGAATACACATCCTGTGAGCACTTTAATTAGAGTGGCTCTAATTAAATTAGAGCAACCCCTTACCCCCCACCCTGGAGCACGTATAATGATGTGCCCAGTGTACAAGCATGCAGACGGAGGGATTCATTCCTTAGCTTCTCTCCTGGGACTCTCAAAATTTCTGTCTGTAGCCCTGCTGTAAATTGATTTTTTCTGGGATGTATGGAAGCACTTGATGATGACTAGGTAACTATTTAAATACCGACTTGCTTCTTTGCACTCCCTCTGTCTGTATTCACACATCTATCTCACGCCTAGAATGTCAGTTTTGCATGTGTTTGTATTATTGCATGGAGTTGGAGCCTCCAAAATGCTGCATTAATAAAAAAACTTTATGCTTATCTGTTTCATCCTCCCTCAGCAACTAGCTCTAAATTCCCACCTCAGCAAGCTGGAAAATGAAATTGATCCCACTTCTGACCCCTGAACCTCTCATCACAGAATTCACTTACATGGGAAGTGGAAGCTCCTGGGTTGCATTTTTTTTTTCTTTTTCTTTTTTTTTTTTTTTTTCAAGCCGTCTCAGGTTTCCTGTTTCACAGGCTTTGAACATTTTTGTTCATCAGCCTGATTCAAACTCCTTGCGATACACGCGCTTCTTGGCATGGAGGGAAACAAGACGGAAACCTCTGGTGCTGAAAGGAGCGAAGAAATAATTTATACCTCTGTCAAGTTTTCCCAGCCCCCACCAATCCATGCCAATGATGGACTGAAACATAAAGGTAAGGGGAAGTCCTGCTTACAGTTGGTGACTGATTGAAACTTTGAGGCTTTGTGTCTTGAGACTTGAAATTTTGGTTCTTCTTTTAAAAAATGCTGAGCTCTCACAAGGTTTAGTAGAAGTCAGCGGGAGCTGTGAATGCAAAACTCCTCTGAAAGTCCAGCCTCCCATGCACATCTTGAGGAGGACACTCAACAACCAAACCACTCTGACCAGTTTTTTTCATAATTTGAATGCGTGAAACCTTATGCCTGTGTGGGCTAGAGAAGATGAGGCTCTAGAAAAATTAAAGGCATGTGTGAATCATAGTTGAGAGATAGGAACAACTTATTAGATCCACTGGCTTTCCTGGGGTCAGTGCAGAACTGCTCCCTGTGCTCTCTTTCTTCACTATTATCTTTAGTCTGATTTTAAATGACTCCATGGCCTAAGCTTCCCCTGCCATCTCCTGAGAGGCAATTCCACACCCCAGTACATCTTGCCAGCACAAAGATTTTTCTAGTATTCACCTTACATTTTCCCTTTCATGATTTCATCTCCACTTCTCCTGGTAACCTTCCCTCCATGTACAGCCCTTAAAATCCCTTTCCTCCTTCCTCTTTACACCTGTTGGATTTGTGCTGGCTACTGTGAAGTCTCTCCTTAGTTGTTGCTTTGACAGAGACAGAATTTAGCTTGTTTAATCTCCCCATATAAATCACTTAATCATTTTTCTTGCTGTTGCCATGAATTCCCTATAGTTTATTAATAGCCAGTAATGAGGTGCCCAGCACTAAGTAGGTTCTCCTCACATTCACACGGAGGTGGACTTTCACTTCCCTGTCCTGTTATGGGATTCTTCTGTGCTTGCCATTCAAAAATAACCTTGCAGGTTCTTATGGTGGTTCATGCTGCCTGTTGAAATGCTGATAGGTTTGAATGAAGCTGCCTCTGCTTAACTTCAAGTACCTATCTGCCAGCTGTGCTGCACTCACTTGGAAGGAGACCTTCCTGAGAAGGAGAATTTTGTTGTTGTACAACACCCCTTGCCCAGCATTATATGGTGTCTGTTTGCTTTCCATTTTGCCCCTTCAAAGGTGGTCCCTCCCATAATGATCCTGTCTAGGCACCTTTCTCGAGTGAAGCTCTTAGTACCTGCTTATGGTGGGTGCTTAAGTGAGGGACAGAGCTGGATTTCAGGCCAAGGGGGAAGGTGGGTAGCAAGGGTGGGCACCCATAGTGGGGAGGGTGGGGGTCTGGGCTGGTTTCCAGCAGCGGTGGGAGCGATTGTTGTCCATCCAGGGGAGCTGGGTTGACTTCTGGTAGTGGAGAATCAGGTTGGTTGTCAGTTCATATGTAATCTGCCTTTCTGGCTGCAGGAGCTTTCACTTGCAGCCCATGACCTGGCTATAAAGATCCCTAGCAAATGGCTGTCTCCCAGGGACCAGGCCCCTGAGAACTAGCTTAGAGAACTAAGTTAAGCAGAGGCAGTCAATTACTCTGGACATTTCTGGACATACTCTGCACAACTGAGTCCTCTCCCCACAGGTCCCTGGGCAAGGGCCACAGGGAAGCAGGTTTCCATTTTCTCTGGGATGTGGAGTTCTGTCCACCAGTTCAGCCCTAGAGGACATGCCTCACACTTCTGATCTCCTGGGATGGAAAAAGTCTCCCTCCTGCTTGTCCCTCTCTGTGCTTCCATTGTGGGGCTGTCCAGACAAGGTGGATGGGTGAATGTTACAGCCATAAAAATGCTCTAAGCCATATCTTGTTATTGTATGTACTTGTCCCCATTGTCCAACTCAACCCTTACCCTAATTCCAGGTCTGAGATATCCTTCACGTGAGGCCACTAAAGTGAGTACATTTTTGTGCTGGGGGTGAGTTTGGCTCGAAGACAGCTGTGGGTTCTCGGTATCCCTGAAAACCCAGCCCCCAGGGATCTCAAATTGGGCTCTTGAAGTTAGAGGCCACTTTTGAAAATGTTGGCCTATGCATTTTACCTACAGTCAAAGCCAGCAAGTGCTGGAGCCAGGTCCCTTGAAGCCTCATTTTTTCCTACTCTAACCTCCATGAGATACGCATCCTTTCCCAGTGACACTGAAAACATCTTCTGGGATCTATCTGGGACACAAGATGGCACATTTCTGATCCTCACCAAGACAGTAATGACAAAGTGCTAGCAATTTCCAGCTGCAGAACAGAACCTGTCATCATAGAAATAAAAGAGCTAACAATATTATTGGTTCACTACCTATGAATCACTGCAACTTAGCAGAGTTGACTCAGCAGAGTTTAAGCCAGTCTTAATTTAAATTAAAGCTGCCTTTACATGTGCTCAGGGATGGGTGTGGAAGGTGGTGAGACATTTTAATTAGAACAGTTCCAAGACAGCCAGTCTAATTAAAATGGCTCATCATCATGTGCATTAACACCTCCACCCCTCCACCCTTCCCCTGCATTTCAAAATGGCCACGGTGATGCTCTAAGTAAAGCTCATTCAAGGAGATTGAATTGAAGTGGCCTTGAGGCCATTTTCAAATGGGGAGAGGGACTAATACATGTGATGGTGAGGTGACACTGGAGCATTTACATTAGAATGAGGAGCAGATTCAATTAACTGAGTCTGCTCAGACACGTTCCAATTAGCAAATGCCTATAGGCACCCAAAATGTACATTGTAATTCAAGTTACAACCCTTCCCTCTGGGGCAATTTGCAGTTTCACAGGTCACTGGTGGGAAATATTTTCTGATTTATCAAGTCTATGATTCATAGAATCAGAGAAAAGTAGGGCTGAAAGGACCTTCAGAGGTCATCTAGTCCAACCAACCCCATGCCAGAGGCAAGATCATCTCTATCCAAACTGTCCTATACAGAGCCTTCCTCTTTTTTCAGTTGCATTTCTGCTTCTCCTATTCATGCTCTCTTTTCTCACCAGCACCGTCTGTCGTCACCTAAGAATAGCAGAGATGCTTGATGTTGAATACGCTGCTCAGTTACGGTGCTGCCTGGGGCTGTAATTGCTTGTTAACTAAATACACTCGGAGTCCAATGTCTGAACTCTGTTTTCCTCCTTAGTCGCATGGAGCCCACCAGAGTTTCAGTTCAACTGGTATGCATGGGAATAGTGTGCCAGCATGGCTTTTCTGCTATTTTATTTTCCAGAAATTAAGCTTTTTAAAATGTCTTTTTTAAAGAAAGACATTTCTCACTGTTCTGGCTGTAGAAATACACTCGCTCTCATTTTCAAGGTGAACAATTGCAGCGATCTCTGCCTTTGTTTGCAGAAGCTGAAACAATAGATGTGAAATGTCCTGTTCAAGGCAGCGGGACCCAACTTTGACATTTAGAGTATTAACCTTTTTTTTTCTAAGTGTGTAGGAAAGGAGGGGGAGGACCACATTACAAAGACCTGTGCAATCTTCTGTTGATTTTTGATACCACATAGGGCTTGTGGGGAGACAGTTCCATTGCTTTCCCTTTTCTCCAGCCAGGAAGGCACCAAACCAAAATAGCCCAGCAATCCCCATCTGAGCCTTCCCAAAGGAAACCCCATCCTGAACAAGCCCAGTTGTCTATGAATCTCACCCAGGCACAAGGAGCCCCTCAGAGTCCATGGGGATGCCTGGGCCTCTGGCAGGGAAAACTGACTCCAAGAACATGTATGGACATATTTTGAATATCCCTAGTCTACTGGAAATGGCATCTTGGGCCCAGCACTGGGAAGAGGCCTACCACTGTTGTTATTTCTGTTCAGTTGGTGTTTCATTTGTTCCCCCTGGATCCTAAGCCTGTACCTCATGTTACAGTATTAGGCCTGCTTAATTCTTCATACTCTGACAAAGGGAAAGGGTTCAGAAGGTGCATGTGGTCCTGGTGGGGGATGGACAGGCCCAGTAGATTCTTTGATCAAGGTAGATGAGCTTCGTGTTAATTTGTCTGTTTGTGAATTATGGTTTTTTATTGTACATGTGCTCAAAGCCCAGGGAGATGACAGAGCCAAGTGACTGAATCCATCAGGTACATTTACTTTAGTCTTTATGGCCATTTTTACACGAGCCCTGGGAGACCGGGGGGAGGGGGGGGGGAGGGATGCTTTAATTAAAGCGGCTCTGAGAGCCGCTCTAATTAAAGTGCCTGCAGCATCTTGTGTGTCATTGTCCTCACACTTCAAAATGGCGACTGAGGTGCTTTAACTAAAGCTCATCAAATGAACTTTAGTTAAAGCACCCCTGCTGCCATTTTGAAGCATGGGAATGCTGATGCATAAGATGAGGAGGCTGGCTGGAGTGCACTAATTAGTACAGTCCAGCAGACTTGATTAACTGTGTCTGTTCTGATGTACTGTAATTACAGCACATTGGAGTAGCCTCCATGCATGTCTACAGGCACCCTATTAGATTAGATTTTCACATCCTCCTGTTTCAGAAGAAGAGGCCACGTTATCAGGTTTCTAAAGCTGATTGAGATTTATACCTATCAGACAAAAGATAGAATGGAGAAAAACAAAAACAGCCAACTCGTCAGAACTGTTTGATCAGAATTGAATGTCATGTCTTAGAAGATAATTATCTCCTTCTTGAGTTATTTGCTATTTACAAGCAAGAAAATGAGTCAGCCCTGCCATGCATACCTAACTTGAGGGCCAGGGGATTTTTCAGGTCTTCAGGCTGACTCCACTTTCCTGGGGGGCTGCACTGGTGCAACTGATGCTGTATCTGAAGGCAACAGAAACAAAAGTAACATCAAGTAGACATGAGGTGGCCAGGCCATGGCACACGTGCCACAAGTGGCACAGGCAACCTGTGTGTGGGACATGTGGCAGACTGGGGAAGGGAACAGGCAGCACAGCAGCAGACAGGGCAGGAAGCAGAAAACAGCACAAAAAAGAGCAGGAAGGGGATTGAAGTGATACTTGGGGAGGGCACAGGACTTAATTTGTGGCATGTCTGCTAAAGAGGTATAGTCTACCTACTGAGGTAGACTCTAAGAAGAGCCAAGGTAAAGCTGATCCAAACAACAGGAGGCTTGAGGTCTCAGATTTCCACATTATCCTGATATTCTTACTTATTTAAGTTGAAAAGTATTTGATCCCAATTGTTTTTAAATAACCAAGAAAAAGAAGGTGGGGAGATAGAGGCAAGAGATCTGCCAGCTTTAGGAAGTGCTGCAAAAACTTCCTCTTTGAGAATGTCTGCCCATTATAAGGGACGCTTGCAGCATTGACACTTCTGTCCCAGAACCACCAAACAACCGGAAGACCTGCTACCTATCAAATGTGCAAGCACAATAGGAGGGGAAAGAAAGAGTCTTAAGAAACTGAACTGTCCTTCCCACCTATTAAAATTATGCAATTAAACCAAGGCCTCCTACATAGAGTTTAGACTGCACATAGGATGACCTGCCAGAGGTGCCACAATATCCACAAAGGATTTTACTGATTATTTGATGTGGAATGGGTTCAGCAGTATTAGACCTGAAGAGAGATTAATAGAGGGCAAGCTTATGCTCCAGAATTGCTCATTGTGTGCAGCTGTTTATTGACCATTTATTACCCTGTTGAAGCCCCATTGCCCATTCAACTTGCATCACCACGTTAAAACCCCATACAATAAATGATACAACAAAAACCCCAGAATCCCAGCAAAAGCAGTAAACATAGACATGCCCCATACACAGCAAAGATTTCCAAATAGATTTTGGCATTAACTTCGGTATGTCAAGGACCTTACTGAAACCAAACGTGTCCTGGGTCAGACTCCCCTCCTGTGCTTGCCCACTGAAGACCAATATGTTACACAGAAGATGACCTGCTACATATAAAAGTTGGTGACTTGCCCCCAACACATGCTCTAAAATCCAGGCACCTTTTTAGGATGGTAGCAGCTGCTTTAGGGTATAGCAGAAATTATGTTCAGAAACCCCCCTGAGCTGCTGACACTATAATAATAATTTATTATTAGGAATTTGTAGCAGCAACCTAAGTCCTGAGGATTAGGCCCATAGCACTGGGTACTATACAGAGACAAGCAAAGAGACAGTGAGTTGCATAGAAAGAGTAACTTTTCCACCTGAGGCTCCAGAGAGAGTCTTAGAAAGACATAACTGTGAGCAGGTGTGCGACCTGCATGCTGAAGTCAGATCTTATCCTTGTGAAAGTGCCAGGGTTTCATTAAATAAGCAAGTGGGAGAAGCCTTGTTGGTACTTTCTGTCTAAAAGGAGGCAGCTCCAGCCGCACCAGCCTGTCCCCCAGCACCTTGCAGTCATGTTGGGGTCAGTATGAAGTCGGCTGCAGGAGTATCCCATTCACCTGCCAGCTGCACAGCACCTGCAGTACCACTGTGGGGTCAGTGCTAGCTCTGAGGAAGGAGTACCACCTACCAGTACCAGCCAGTTCTCATACCAGTACCAACC